GGGCAGACTCGCGATCGGCTGCGCATGCATGGCATCAGCCGGTGCCGGGGCCGTCATTGCTGGCTGTAAGATGGCTGTTAGAGCCATTGCCAGCGCCGATTCTGCCCGCGGCCCTTTACAAGGAAGCCGGGTCTTTGGGACGGGCAAGACTCGGGGCTGAGGCACTACGGCCTTTGCCCGTCTTGTCTGTCGAGTGCCTCGACAAGGAGCAAGAGGTACCCGGTCTGTCCCCTGCGCTTCGTCTCTGAGGTAGTTCACTGGACTTGTTGGGCTCTTTAGTTGGTGAACGAGCCCGAGTGAGTCCTGGGGTCAGCAGGAGAAGGAGCGCTGGACTCAGCCTGGAGGGCTTTATTGAATAAAAGAACTCTTAGCCGCATTTCGCGATCGTGTCTAGCGCGGGCTGTCAGTTTCATGCAGTGAGGGCACTTCGTCGGAATGTGACCATCCCCCAGACATTTGACACAGCGCGAGTGCCCATCTGAGTCGGGCATTGCATCCTGACACTGCACACATTTCTTAAACCCAGGCATAATCCTTGTAGATTGCCAGCACAATAAACAGTTTTTTGTTTTTTTTAAGGCTACTAACACAACTATAACTTAGGACGGAAAAAAGAGATTTTGAAACTAACTAACTACTAACTATTAACAACTATACTAACTATAAACTGCCAAGTGGCAATTAACAACTCTAAAGTAAAACTCCCTTTTCTCCTCAGGCCGGAGAGGGAGCGTCTGCAGCTGCGGACGGTTGAAAGGAAACTGATGAGCCGGCCCGTCCTCAGCTGTAACGGCTCGAACAGCGCGAGGCAGCAGGAGTGCATGCGTGGGCCGGCAGGGCTATTGCTAGGAAAGTTTCTCCATTTGCGGCGCTGGGACGAGCCCAGCACCTCGAGTGGAGCACCCTCGGGGGACACTACGTGACGAGCAGCTGCGGACGGTTGAAAGGAAACTGATGAGCCGGCCCGTCCTCAGCTGTAACGGCTCGAACAGCGCGAGGCAGCAGGAGTGCATGCGTGGGCCGGCAGGGCTATTGCTAGGAAAGTTTCTCCATTTGCGGCGCTGGGACGAGCCCAGCACCTCGAGTGGAGCACCCTCGGGGGACACTACGTGACGAAGAATATCTGATTTCTGTCCATTAATCCTTTGACATGGAGACTGTCCAGTCTGGCCAATATACATAGCAGAGGAGCATTGCTGGCACTCAATGGCATAAATTACATTGGTGATGCACAGTTGTATGAGCCTCTGATGTAGTGGTTTATACGGTTAGGCACTGTGTTGATGTCATTCATATAGATATATGGACAGAGTTGGCACCTGAGTTTATTGCAGGAGTGGGTTCCTGGATGAGTATGATTGAGGTGTGCAGCATGGTTGCTGGAAAGAATTTTGTCTGTGGGCTAGGATTGGCCAGTCCTCCAAGGCCTCTGAGAGTGAGGGATTGTTTTCCAGAATAGGCTGTAGATTGTTAATGTTAAGTTGAAGCAATGTGTCTTGGATGGAAGCTAGAGGCATGTAGGTAAATATAATGGTTGGCAGGTTTCCAGCCTAAGGTGGTGGAAACGTGGCCTTCATTTAATTGTACTGTAGTGTCAAAGAAATGGATCTATTGTGTGGACTGATCCAGGGTAAGGTGGATGGTAGGGTGGAAGTTGTTGAAATCCCTGTGGAATTCTTCAAGGGTTTCCTTCCAGTGGGTCCATAAGATGATGTCGTAAGTAGAGTAAGAGTGCTAGGGGGCGAAAGCTGAGGAAACCATAAAGATGTTGGCATATTATGGGGCAAATGGGTGACCATAGCTGTGCTGCTGACTTGCAGATATAAATTGTCCCCAAATTGGAAATAGTTGTGGGTGAGTGAATGTGTAAATAGTGAATCAGAAAACAATTGCTAAATAATCTCTTGCAGATTGTAAGTCACTGACACTACAGGGCTCCATGTTGCAACCCTGGGTGGTAAGAAGAAAATGAAAGGTTGTTCAGGCTGTCTTGCTCCTTGTACCCTCAGCTATGGTGGCTGCAGGGGCTCTAAGGATGCAGGGCAATTCCTATTGGATATAGCTATTCAAAATAATATGATCATGTGTGCACATAGCACATATGCACCAAGAGTGGAATCTGCACAATCACTGAAAGAAATTAAACAGCAGTTAAACTGAAATTAAATAGACATAACTCAGTCACATGCCTGGCTGAAAATGCTTTATCTGCTCTTGTTGCAAGTAACACCTGAGATCACTAGAACTAAGCTTAGAGGAAAAAAAGACATTTTCCCCTACTTCCCACAGTTTATAGCACTCTGGGTAGAGACAGTGCCACTGTTCTCCTTGATTAGTCACTGTAAGTAGCCATTGTTTGTGAGGGTCATTCACAGAGCAACAAAGGAGACAATATATGAGATAAAAAAAAATAAAGAATGTTATTGTAAGGCAAAGGGAAAAACAAATTGTCCCTACTTGTTCAGGAGTGTTGCCATCATCAGCATAAAGTCTGGGGTCTGCTCCATATTGAAGAAGCATCTCCACTGCAGCCATATGACCACCAAAGGCAGCACGATAAAGAGGAGTCCTGCCAAAAGCTCCCTATAAAGATAAAAACACCTAACATGAGGAAAGTAGTGTCTGAGTATCACATATGCAGAGCTGTCCCATCCATAGGAGAGTTTGGGGCAGCCGCCCCAGGTCCTGTGATTTGGGGAGTCCTGTGGCAGTTGCCCTAATCATCCCATGGATAGGACCCACAGGATAACCGGGGATTGAGGGTCTGATGCAGCAGCAGCAGGGGTTGCTCCCTATCCCCACACTCACCATGGCAGTGGGAGCTGGAGTGGCCTGACAGCTTACTCCACTCTATGGCCCCCTCCTGGCCTGCTGAGACTGACTTCTCAGGGACAGAGTGTGACTGCGCGTGTTGCCCTAATCATCCCATGGATAGGACCCACAGGATAACCGGGGATTGAGGGTCTGATGCAGCAGCAGCAGGGGTTGCTCCCTATCCCCACACTCACCATGGCAGTGGGAGCTGGAGTGGCCTGACAGCTTACTCCACTCTATGGCCCCCTCCTGGCCTGCTGAGACTGACTTCTCAGGGACAGAGTGTGACTGCGCGTCGGGGCTGGCGCCTCTAGCGGGGTCCCTCTGGCACGGCCGGGGCAGTGTGCAGGGCGAGTGCTCCGACCTGGCCTGGGGAAACCCCGAGCCCCTTCTGTGACGATGCGTTGGGGTTCCCCGTCTCCTGCACCCCGAAATGCCACGGACAGACTCCCCCAGCCGGTAGAACAGAGGGAGGTTATTGCTTCTCCAGGATACAGCCCAGCACAGATGGAATCTGGTTCCAGGGCAGGGCTAGGAGGCCTCAGTGCCCCCCCCTTGAGTGGGGGAGACTGGGCCCCGAAATCCCAGCCCCTTTCTTAGGCTGCTTCCTCCATGATACCAGACAGAAACTAACTCTCTTCCAGCCCTGCCCCCAGCAAAGTGTTGGTCTCCACCTTCCTCCCTTTGTCTCTCTCCCTGGGAGGCTGAGCCTGGGTGTTTGGGTTAATACACATTTGGGAGAGTCAGTGAGAATCTCACATTACAGCGCAGGGGGACCCCAGGTCACAGAGCAGACAGCCCCCCACTACGCCACACAGAGGGAACCACAGTGCCCCAGCATCAGCTTTCCACCATTGCAGAGAAATGGGATGCAGAGGGCTGGGAAGGTGTTGCAGTGGAGCAGAGCAGAGCAGAGCAGGCTGCCAGGTAGCTCTGGCTCCCATCACCTGTGTGGTGAGTGGGGAGGCAACCCCTGCGGCCACCAGCCAGGCTCCCCATAATCCTCTGGGACGCATTGCTTGGGGGCAAAGTGAGAGCAAGACCTGAAGCAGAAGGGGATTGCCCTCGGCCCCCGATCTGGACCTCTGGGCAAGGGAATTGCCCCATGCTGTGTACCCTCCCTGGGGCAGCCCTGGCTGGTGCTCTACACAGCCCAGCACTGGAACACCCCCTCTGCAGTGGGAACAGCCACTCCACGAGGGGAGGTTCTGGGGGCAGGAGCTATGTGGTGCAGGGCATTGCCAATTTTTCAACACCAAACACCATTCGCTATAATGGTATCCAGTCCGGAAGAGCTGGCAACCCTGGAGCAGGACAGTGAGGGTGGGTCACCTACAGCCTCAGGGCAGTAGCCAGGAGGTGCAGGTGGCAGTGTTGAGTGTGGACCAGAAGACGGTCATGCTGCCTGCTGGAGAGAAATGGTGCTCTGAAGGGAAAACCGCTGCCTGTTCCAGCTGCTGAGCATGTGGCCGCTGCCTGCTCATAGAGTTGTTTGGCCTGTGCTAGCACTACTTTCTGCTCTCTTGTGAGCAGGAACTGAACAGTGCCCA